CCCGTCCTTCCCGTTCACAGACATCCAGTCATCCTTACCAGGTTTCTGTTCCAAGGTGTCATACCTCTCTACTCCAATCTTTTTTCCCCCGAACTGCCAAACTGTGGAACACTCTCCCTCTTGTTGTTTCCCCCCAACTTACAACCTTACACTCTTTAAACACAGAATCAATAAACTGGATCTTACGTGAATGTTCTCCTACTCTCCCCTTTACAGTATGCTATTTTGCACATGGGGATTTCCCCGTTTACTGTAATTCACTTTGTGTAATAAAAAAGGTAACATTTACCAGAGATTTCTTATGAAATGATTGTTTTCTATGTCAATTATTAGCGGAACTGGTGTGTTATTCCTTCAGCTTCAAGCCAATGAATAGATACCAATATCGAACCCCAGTTGAATGAGATTGATAGATCTAAATCATTTACTCATAGGGTACTAAGTGCTTACATCTTTTACGGTGCCAATGTTTGTGTAAACGTCAACGAAGAGGCGTTGAGCAACTGTTGCACTCTAGTTGAGACATATCAGTAGTATTTTTTATTACCTATCTAATTGTGATTAACAGCAGACGGGGTCGACCCCATAGTCACGAGGACCTGCTGTTCAGTGATGGTAACCGGTAACCTGATCCCCGGGATTTGGAGTGGCGAACCATATAAGACCCCGATTGGTTAGGTGTGGTATAGAACCGGGCAAGTGTGTGAGTTAACATGAGCTAAGACAAACATTTCTACCGCAAACAGAACAAGTTCAAGTTATTGGGAATACAAAAAGTGAAACCCACGCCGAAATAAAAATCATATGCGATGCCTAGTGGCTATAAAAAGCGAATGCGCTGAGCGAGACAGGATACTCCAAACAAAACTTGTTTACTTTTATTACTTTCCTTAGAGTTTTTCAAGTGATTTATCATAACTTGAGCCATAATATATTTGCCAACACTAATCGAACAAGAAACCAGCTAAATAACATCAAAGCACCTATTGATCGCCTTATTTTATGGCAAAACAAAATCCATGGGAGTTGGTGACAAAAGAAACGGTTTAGTAAAAGCTATGGAAGAGAGAGAAACAGGCTTGATTGTAAGATATCTATCAAAAACACATAAGCCATTGAGATTTTGAGCCACATTGGACTCTGTTCAATCAGAAACATTTATTGACTCAATGTTACAGATGTGAATACCCTAACAATACCACTTTGGTGTTAGTATCTTCCACGACTGTACTCACAGAGATCCTTTCCAACTAATGAGTGCTTGAACAGACAAATAATTGTAAGCTAGCCACGTGACAGACCTCTAACATTACAGTCTATGGAGAAAGGCCGGCGCCCTCACGATTAAATGAAACACGTTCGACCTAATGATTCTTTGACACATCTCACCATTATTTGTATGATGTTTCCACCTTAAAAGCGATGCAATGAAAAGGATAGTGGTTGAAGACGAGCATCCTTGAATACCATCTGAACGAAAAGATCAATTTTCGCAGTCATGTGGAGCAGATCGCATTGTAATACTGAACTCGGTCGTTCAAAGATAGATTGTGATTTCACAAGTGTCACAAATTCACACGAGTTATGGCCAATTTGACTACATTAACACAGCTCATAAGATAAAGTATTCACATAATTCAGAAGAAATAGGGTGAGTGTGGCTCAGTTCTTGTCAGAATGGTCATAGAGCTTTGCACTTAATGGATGCGATGGACACGTCAAGCGCTATTTCCATTCCCGATCAATAATGAAGTCAAAAACTATCCTTATTGGTATCTCCGTGTAGATGCCCGATGGGTATTCTGAATTAAACCAGTAAAATAACGTAAAATCTAAACTTACCGATTCTTTAACAGCTAAAAATGCGTGGCACATCCACCGTCTTGTAGCGCCATCTCGACAGATATAAGCAAATCCTTTCTCGTGGCCACGATCCGGAGCACAAAACGAAACCTTCTCAATCGTCTGATCCACAATTAAATGCTAAATCGCACCCTCAACAAAATGCAATTAGGTCGCTTACCTGACTCACATCATCGGACACACGCAGAGCATCACCACTGACATAGAGGATTGCTTTTTGCGGCTTTTTCTACAGACAAAAAATGGGATCGCTGGCACAGAAACGAATCATCGACTTACTTTCGACTTGCGAAGAGCTTTTATGGCTTCCTCGCATACTTGCATACCCCGAGACTCATACACTTCGATATTGCCCAAATACTAAAGCAAAAGATTTGCATGAGTCGCAGGTAAACATACCTTCACTTGAAAACTGCAGCACCCGTCCTTGATTTTGGCCTCATCGTCCAACCATTGTTGGGGTTTTGAACCATCCGCGGTCTCGCTTCGTTTTTTCGATTTTTTACGAAAACTAAATGTGCGACGGAGTCCGTTCATCTTCAAACTTGAAGACAAAGGAGATCGCGGAAATTCTAGTCAAACAGAGTCCAACATGAGGTAATGACTAGCTGAAAGAAGTTTGGCAAATAACACAGAAGATCTAAATTGCTGTAAAACGATCATAATCACAAATAAGTATATTGTCAATATTCCCATCAGCAACATCACCATCATCGTACAGTGAAATAGTGAAGCGAACTTAACTGATTGTCACTGAACTCCCAATCCATACAGAGTAAGCATGCGCAAAGTGGATGGTGAGAAGGCATGTTTTGAATGAAGTGAGAAAGCACGCCTGTAGGATCAGCACAGAGCACAGTCTAACTGCACTACTTTTACTTTCGATCGACGAACTCCTGCGGGAGGATAAGTTGGCTTCTTGGATGTCTCTAATGATGGCGGCTCATTCATGACGATCGGTAGCAAGGCTGACGCAGTGTGAAACCCAATTCTGGTTCCAGTTACGAATTCTATATACGGATTGAAGGCCCAGTAATTCCAAATACGTCTAACTGCACACACCCACTTCTTCAAGCAGATTGATCTAATAGGGAATGGCAACAGGAAGACCACTGCTGTTGATCCGCTATCATATCGTGCAGCTTATCTAACCTGATGGTTAGAGTTTCTTGCCCTCAGCCAGAAAAAGAAACTTTCTTCTTTCAGAAAGCCTCAGTACGGTCGGGGTGAGTGTTTCGCGTTGCGGTTGATCATCCCTCGATTGCATCTCGCGAAATGCTCTCATACGAACAAGCGTTTAAACAGCTTCTGATGAGGAGGCTCTTCTTACAGCCTTCTCGTGACAAAGATGTTTTCCCACCAAAGTGAGAAGACGAAAAGTCAATATCCCGGGACTATAACAAGGGTTGGTGGATCACTGGAAGTTCATCTAGAGGAGTTGACTAGAAACCCACATTCCAAAACAACCAACAAGAGGTACACAAACCACACAAACACATATAGCAACATCTTCATGATTGTGGTAGTGGTCAACGGATGGAGTGGGCACCTTGGACGTTTAACACCGCCCAAAGGGTGTATGATCCGTACCCCAATGGACTACGGTTTCCACACACCGCCCTGTTGTCTTGCTGATCAGGCTTTGGTTAACCGAAGGCTTCGGTTGTGAATTCTCCACCTACCTTGGCCAGGGCAACACGGCAGTATCCCGCTTTGCAGCAAATCATGGATCTTTGTTCTTGTTATAAAGATTATTGTACTGTGATTTGTTTGGCACAAAGTCTGGCCTCAAGTGTGTGTAAAATATAATATATATAATGGTTTTTAAGAAAAGAAATTTCATCAGTCATCAAAGAAAATATGCCGAGACTGATAACATACAAGGGTGCTTATATCGGAAGAGAGGAGATGCAGGTCCTGGGCCAGCTTACAGCGTCCATTCTCATATTTGAACGGATGAAGTTCACCCGTTGACTGAACGAAAATTTTTTGTACGAATCAATCATCATTCACCGTTCCCAAGCTGACAAAAAATCCAACCAATCGACCAGGCATTGTCGATATTTCTCATCTCAAACAAACATCCATCTAAATGTGATGGATGGAGTGAACCCGGTGGTCCCGAGAACCTATTGTCCGTTTATGGGAATCGAAGAAATATGCTTTGGGACTATGGACAGTGAACTGTACAAGGAGTCAACAGAATAGGTGTGGTATTGAACTGGGTGACAGTGCGGCTGCCTATCATCTAAGTTGGATGCTGGTGACATGATTTGAACCTTGAACCTTAGGTCCCGTAGTATGACAGTACCAATGACTTAAACCGCTTGATCGTCAATACCGATTTAACAACCAACTGCCTTTATCGAGTTGCCGCCTTTTGGAAAATACTCTGATCTAAGGTCAACTAAGAATCCCATGTCTTGAAAGTGAACATCGGAACCGGAAAACAAGTGGTCCTAATATGGTGAGCGCACTGCGTTTGACAAAGGAATGATCGACATGTCCTGTAATGACGAACACAGTGAACCTGTGACAACTGCCAGAGTTCATTTGATTGCATTCACACGAAAAAGTCGAGTGAACTGCTTATTCGAGAATCGCGTTGTCTAACACAACATGCTGTTCTCAAAAGTACGTTTCACACCTTGGAGTTAACAATGTGGGCACAAATACATTGCGCTAATCTGTACGTCAAATGCCTGCCTTAGATAATGGACCACAGATATCAATCACTGTTATTTGTTTCACTGTGTACACAGACTGTTATTTTCATTGCAACCCAAAGAGATAAAAAAAATAAAATGAGTAAGGATGAACAAAGGAAACAGCTACTGTGTTTGACATGATGGCAGCGGAAAATTGTGCGAAATTCCCAATGTCGGAGAGAATGAATAGTCGACTGCAGGTC